TTTCTTTCTTTCTTTCTTTCTTTCTTTCTTTCTTTCTTTCTTTCTTTTTTTTTCTTGTATTCTGGAGTAAAGTTCAAACACTTCTTTCAACAGCTGTAGCTGTAGCATTCGTTAGGCTGGTAAGAAGCGAACACCAAAGCTTACAAATGTATCTGTTGTCCACATTCAGTGCAAGGAGGAGTGAAATGAATGTTGCCATCCATTTATGTTGCACAACAAGAATTTGTCTGAACTAGGATCTATATGCAGATCTGCATTGTCAAAAGTTGTACCAGAACAAACAGAAGCAGAGAGTATACACCCATAAGTCAGAAATTGCTAAAACTTTTGAGAACTATGTTGTGACTGCTCTCATGTTCAGATTGAATGAGCTTGAAAAAATATGAGCATTAGTTTGCCAGGTTTATCAGCAGCCAATTCCCAACAGCATAACCATTAAGCAATATATATGCAGATATGTTTGTGAGGATGAATTTCATCCACAAGTATGGAAGTAGTCTTTCCTTTCACAGGCAGGCATTATTAATTTTCACCCATATGCTCAGTACATCTCCTTGGTAGATTCTGGGTTTAATTTAAAAGTCACAGGTTAAATTTTGAAATTGGCATGTCTAAGATCTCATAACAAAATAATATCCGAAATACAAATAGAGAAATATTTACACTTGTGACGTGGAATGATTCATCTGTAAGGATTATAGTTGGTCTGAAAACAGTTTAGATCATCAGCTGTTTCAGGGGTAGGAAAAGGACTTTGTAAGAAAAAAATAGACGCTGCCTATGTGAAGGAAGGAAATGTTTTGCAGATCCCACTAGCCCTCCCCAATCCACTGCATGGGGATTGTCTGCTTGTCAGTCACATTCTGAACTGGAGGATAATACTGATGCAGAAGATGAGTATGAACTGTTCTTAGGTCATAAAACAGAATGTTAGAGGCCTACCAGATTTCTGACAACCTGTCAGAAGTTGTGAAGGTGTGCAAATTCTACGACCTGAAAATAGTCCGTATTTGGGGCAATAAAAGTGTATTTCGGTTGCAGAAAAAAGCAGCGATGTTTGGATCAAGGCAGACTTGCACAGTTTGAATCACTGTAAAAAAGTATTTTCCAAAAGTACTGTACAATGTCATTAGCCAATTTGAAGAAGTCTGAAAACTTACAGCACTCTATATTAAATCAGCATAGAAATCTCGCGTATGCTAGAGCACTCTGTATTTGCAAAATTCAGGTGTAGCACACAGAACAGTGTTTGCATACCTGAATGAAAGAGGATGGGTTTCACATGAAGGTAGGTGAATTTTGTTTGTCTATGAAGATCAATCTCCAACTGCATTTTTTTTAAAGTTTCTCCACTATGTGAACTCTTCACTGTTTACAGAGAAGTGGATTTTTGTTCCTTTCCTTCTGTACTGAAGATGTAATCAGAGCTCTCTATTCAGCAGCCCCCGATCTTCAAAAAACAGTTTGAGCTTTCCTCTGTATCTTGCCCCCATCTAGTTCCATTGAAATTGGCCCCCAGGTTCAAAAGTTCTCAGAAGAGATACAGATGTGTGTACTTGTATGTGAACATGGCAGAGCATAAACATCATTTCCTCAGGCAACCAGCTATGAACTAACATTTCTTTTAGAATGAGGCATTCTTTTTCATTGGTTTTCAAACATGATGAAAACTGCACCTTTACTGACCCAGCTGGTAGAGAATGCCAGATCAAGTAATCAGGCAGGTCTTGGTCAAGGAACAGTAAGGAAAGAAGTCGTGTTCCTTACCTGTAATTAGACTATACTCATAATTGACTAGTTGCCCTTCAAAATCAATTTCTAGTGGTGAAACAGATGGATGTAAGAGCAACTGGCAGCATCAAAAGAGAGAGAAAAACTTTGAAATGACATAAAGCCTTCTTTAAGAAGGTCTCTTTTTTAGCTGTTCCTTGCCATTCCATTTTTCCATTCATTGTATACTGTGTACCTGTGAACAATCTTGATTGGATTAGTGGAGAGCTTAAGGACACACGCTTAATTTTTTTCTCTAGAGTTGCAGCCTTTTCTTATTGGCAGGTGTGGATTAAGTAATATGAATTATGAAGGAAATCTCCTGATCCTTTTACAGCAACTTTTTCAAATTAAAAAGTTCTTACAGGGTATATGGGGGATAAAAACAAGTAATAGAAGCAAGTCAAAATGCTTTCTATCTTTGCATTATTATCACAAACAGTAACTTGAGACTATATGGTAGAGTCGTGCACCTATACACTGATAAATGAGTTCAATTCACATCATGCAGACAATCTCAGAATGCCACATACTAACATGGAAATAGATAATAATAATAAAACCTAATATTTTCCTACCATCTTTTCTTTTCTCTTGCATTTCTCACCCTCCCACTACACTGTGTACAATGTGTTAAGCTCTTTAGGCTTACACATGTCTCCTAATAGAACTCCAGAAGTGCCTTATGAAGGAGAGAGCCAATAGGATCCTTGGTGTTGGTAAGAAGAAAGGAATACTGCATATAAAGGAGATCCTAATGTATGGCATCTGTGCATGATGCTGAACTGATTTGGAACTGGCAGTTACAGTTCCAGGAAGAGCCCTTAGAGTCACCCTGACAGTTCTCTGAAGCCATTGCTGCAGGGTGCAGTGACAGCTGATAAAAGCTGCTAAAATACTAGACAACATTAGGACAGGCAAGAAAACAAGGCAGGATGTGTCATTTTGCCACCGTATGAAACTCTGGCGCACCCAGACTGTAGGTTTGAGCTGTCCCAGCCCCTCCAGTCTCTAAAGAGCACAAAATGTAGGTGCTGAGGCTGTGGAAGGGGAAATGACTGCAAATAGTGATCAGGCTTTCACACACTTCCTAATCTGTATCTCCCTCTACCACTGCCCTGTTTGCCCTGTGTTTTAAAGGTGTAAATGCAGTCATTCATTACAAATTCTGCAGTCAACTTCTCAACATTTGGGGAAATGCAAGTCAGCATACCTGGAATGTGAAGAATAAGTCTTACCCAGTAAGAAAGACTTTGTTATTGATCTCAGTCTGTCCCTTGCCAGGTAAGTACAGCTGGATAAACCCATTAGGGCATTTCTTATATATATTCCCAGCCTTCTAGTTTCTTCTCCGTGTTTCATTTTTCATTTCCAGCTTTCTCCTTTATTTTGTCCTCATTCTGCCAGCATTTTCTTTTCCAACCCTATTTATTAGATTTGAGATGCCTATTTTTTTCTCACTGCATTCCCCAAATCACTATTTCTATTAATGTGCAGTAATACAATCCAGCAGTTGACAAGTCTTACAGTTGAAGACTTCTAAGACACTGTTAGAGCTTTACTTCTTATCCTATAGCCTCAGGGTAAGCCAAACTTACCACATTTTATACTTTAGAAAAGAACACTAATTCTGTTAATAGTTATTTGCCAAGTGTTCCATCTTCCTCATCTTCCTTTTTTTTCCCCCGTTTTCTTCTGGTTCTCTCTGCCTGCCTTCTTTTTATGCGGGGTACAGCTGCAGAGAAGAGAACAATCACTGTTCTGC